GGCCTCTCCCGTTGCGGAGCACAGGCTCCGGACGCGCAGGCTCAGCGGCCATGGCTCACAGGCCCAGCCGCTCCGGAGCGCGGCATGTGGGATCTTCCCGGACCGGGACACAAACCCGTGTCCCCTGCATCGGCAGGCAGACTCTCAACCACTGTGCCACCAGGGAAGCCCTAGCCATCCATTTTTAAATGCAGGTTTCTCAAGAACATATGAGACATGATGAATTTTCACTACATAATGAAATAATAAATTTGCTATGTAACTGGTAAAATTAAGAACACTCTTAACAGGACGAAATCACAATACACACATTTTGAGCATTCAAAACAAATACAACTGTCAAATTTATCTTTAAAATCTTCCTAACAAACATACAAGTACATTTTAAGAAAAGGAATCAGTACAGGAATCAGTAGCCTTTAAAGAGCAGGCTACTCAGAGTGCTAAAAATATGCCTTATGTATATTTCTCATAATCATATCTGTTACTGAGGAATAGGGTGAACTTCAAATGTAAAAATATCTTAGAAAAAATATCATATAAAAAAACACAATTCTTTTCCTTAAGGTCTCAGAAAAAAAGAGATGTATCAATATGTCAGTAATATTTAACATATAAGTTTTTACATTTTGTATAGCAGGAATATATATAAAGGAACTCTAACCAGAATTTTAGGAGTAAAATTAAACATAGTATTCAAGTTCTGTCTGAAAGGGTATTCATAATTTAATAAATGTTGTAACCACACAGGCATTTTAACAAAAATCAAACAGAAAACCCTGTTAGAAGGACACTGCTAGCATAGTCAACACTGATAAAAGAGGGAAGACTACCAATTCTAATAAGCAGTGGTAACATTTCAGTGTCCAAAGAGGTTAAGATAAAGTGTATTTAAAAAAAAAAAAAGTGAGACAGGATAAAATTTTTAAATCCCTTCAATCATATCCTGTAAAAGGCTATCCAATCAATTTTCAATCTGCCTCTCACTTATTAGATTTAAATAATAGAAGATGAAAAGAGGTGTTTTTAAAAACTGAATTAAAAATAAGTTCCTTTTGATTTTTTAACTTTTTAACTGAATCTGACTCTCTTTGAATTCAGAATTACAGTTATTCCACTGCAAGCACCACACAGTTTATGTTAACCTCTAAATGACTATAAAACAGTCTCTGCAAATACAACTTTTGTTCATTATATAATAAATCACTGCCATATATTTTTGTACAATTTAAATGACATGATCTATTTTCATCCACAGCTACTTTAGTCACCATATCTTAACAGTCATCAGGGCAAAAAAGGAAGATAACATTATAGTTGCCAGAGGTACCATGACATAAAAGGAACAAGGCTCAAATAAGAGAGAGACCAATCTCGGACTTCCCTGGTGGTGCAGCGGTTGAGAATCCGCCTGCCAATGCAGGGGACACGGGTTTGAGCCCTGGTCTGGGAAGATCCCACATGCCACAGAGCAACTAAAGTCCGTGTGCCACAACTACTGAGCCTGCATGCCACAACTACTGAAGCCCATGCACCTAGACCCCATGCTCTGCAACGAGAAGCCACCGCAATGAGAAGCCCACACACCACAACGAAGAGTAGCCCCCACTCACCACAACTAGAGAAAGCCTGCATGTAGCAACGAAGACCCAATGCAGCCAAAAATAAATAAATAAAATTAAAAAAAAAAAAAGAGAGAGAGAGCCCAATCTGATTCCCACCTCACCTTCACCCACCATGGACCACTTGGGTTAACACGGTAAAGGTACACTTTCAAAAGTTTTATTTCTTTTTCAAAGATATAAAACACACACACACACATATACACACACAAACTATGTAAACTACCCTGCATAATGCCTGACACAGAAAAATTTTGCTGCTAACATTTAGGTGGTAGTATAGCACAGTGGCTTAGGAGTGTAACTACTTTGTTAAATCCCAACTCTACCACTTATTTAGCTGCGTGACCATGGACCAATTATTTAATCTCTCTAATCCTCAGTTTAATTTTAAATATAAACTAGAACTATTAATGGATCTTACAAGATATAATGCACCTAGTAGAGTTTTTGGTCCACTGTAAACACAAAAATGTTTGATATTACTATATGATCTTAATTAGCATTTAAGGTATTAAAAAATGTATTAGCTACCCTCTCATATACTCTGTATTGGCAAAAGATAATTTCCTACATTCTCAAGGGACCAGTGTCGTAGGGACCAATTAATCATATCCAACTACTTTTTTGCATATTTTATATAACAACTGATCAAACTACTTCTTAAACAGAAGTTAATGTAATACAACATAAGGAAGAAGTATTACTTTTTAAAAAATTTTTATTTATTTATTTTATTTTTGGCTGCGTTGGGTCCTCACCACGACATGCGGGCTTTCTCTAGTTGCAGCGAGTGGGGACTACTCTTCGTTGTGGTGCACAGGCTTCTCATTGCAGTGGCTTCTCTTGTTGAGGAGCACGGACTCTAGGCACACAGGCTTCAGTAGTTGTGGCATGTAGGCTCAGTAGTTGTGGCTCACAGGCTCAGTAGTTGTGGTACATGGGCCTAGCTGCTCTGCGGCATGTGAGATCTTCCCAGACCAGGGCTTAAACCTGGGTCCCCTGCATCGGCAGGCAGACTCTTAACCACTGCACTACCAGGGAAGCCCCAGAAATATTACTTTTAAAAAAGCAACAAACTATCAGCCAGAAAACAATAAAAAATGACTTACTATTAGAGGTGAAAAAAGAAATATTTTTAACTATACAAATATACTGTACTTATATAAATGCAAGAAAAAAACAGAAGAAAACTATATAAATATAAAAAATAGGAAAATATTCAAAGACAAGTGGAGATTTTTTTTTTAATGGCAATGGTTAAAAAAATTTTAGGCATAAAAAATGGAAAACTTAAAATCTGTACAGGGTACAGGAAAAAGCAGAAATTAAAATGAAGAATGAAGCTGTGATGTGGAGGACACTTGAGAGCTCTTAGAAAGTAGAGTTTAAAAGAAAAAGAGAGAAATGAAAACAATACAGGGGCATTTTCTAAAAACCATACCTAGCATCTTTTTGTTTCTACTTTATACATTAGATCCCCAGAATTTATTCATCTTATAACTGGAAATTTGTATTCTTTGAACAACATTGCCTCCATTTCCCCACCCCAGCCCCAGCCTCTGGTAACCACCATCCTACTTTCTTTTTAATTTTTTTTGCCGTACCGCCCAGCATGCAGGATCTTACTTCCCTGACCAGGGATTGAACCTGTGCCCCTGCCATGGAAGCAAGGAGTCTTAACCACTGGACTACCAGGGAAGTCCCCAGCATCTTACTTAATGATGAGAGACTGAATGCTTCCTCTCTAAAACTGGGAACAAAGCATGATGTTCAAACTTACCAATCTTATTCAACATCATATTAGAAGTCCTAGTCAGTACAGTAAGGCAGGAAAAACAAAAGCTGAACAAACTGAAAAGGAAGAAATAAAACTATCTCTATATTCATGAACAATCTGACTTTCTACAAAGAAAATCACAAGGAAAACCACCAAAAAAACTGCTATAACTAATTTGTGAGTTTACCAAGTTCTTGAATACAATATCAATATATAAAAATCAACTGTGTTTCTATATACTAGCAGTAAACAACTAGAAACCAAAATTTTAAAACCAGTACCATTTACAACAACTACAAAAAAAAACTTAGGTTAAGAGTGTTCAAATCTAGCAAAATATGCTGAAAAATGAAAAACACTGATATAAGAAATCAAACAAGACCTAAATAAATGGAGATATACTCAATACTGTTAAGAAGTCATTTATCTACAAAGTGACCTATAAATTAAAGGATTTTTTGCAGATATTAAAAAACCTGGTTTTCAAATTTGTATTGAAAGGTAAAGAAACTAGAATAGCCAAAACAATTATTAAAAAGAACAAAGTCAGCAGATTAACAATACTTGATTTTAAGACTTACTACAAAGCTACAGTAATTAAAGCAGCATGATATTGGCATAAAGATAGACAAATAGATAAATGAAACCAAAAAGAGAATCTAGAAAGAGATACACAAGTATGTCAAACGATTTTTGACAAAGGGGCTAAGGCAATTCAATAACAAAAGGATGTTATCAGTAATTATGCTGAAACAAATGAACATCCATATCAGAAAAAAAAAAAGAACTTGGACCCATACCTCATGGCTTATATAAAATTAACCCAAACTGGATGTTAGACTTAAATATAAAACACAAACTATAAAACACTTCGAAGAAAACAAAAGTTTGTGACATTGCATTAAGCTACAAATTCTTAGATACAAAACCAAAGGCAGTATCAATAAAAGAAAAAAATGATAAATCAAACTTGATCAGATTTTAAAGGTTTTACTTTGCAAAAGACACTGTTAGAAACTAAAAAGGAAAGCTACAGACTAAGAGAAAATATCTGCAAATTATATATCTGACAAAGGACTCAAAAGATTCACAAAACTCAACAGAAAGAAAACAAACACCTTCTACAAATTGTAACAACCAAAAACACAAGAACAAAAACAAAACCCATGCATTTCTGTATGCTGGGATTTACACTTGTAATTGTCCTTTATATTTATATTACTATAATTACCTGTCACAGTGTGGAAATACAGTTAGACAAAAGATCTGAACAGACACTTCACAAAAGGAGACATATGGATGGCAAATAACTACATAAAAAGATAATCATCATAATCTGTTATTAGGGAAATGTAAATTCAAAACACAAGATATCATTACAAAACCTAAAAGAATAGCTTTAATAAAGACAACTGACAATACCAAGAGCTGACAAGGATTTGGAACTACTGGAACGCTCATATAATATTGGTGAAAATGCAAAATAATACCAATCACAAATATTTCCAGAAAATAGAAGAGGAGAGCGGAACTTTTCAGATATAATTTACGCCATACATACATATTGAAAAATATCTTTTGAGTAGTATATACTATACCTTGTGGGGTGCAAGAATCCTCTGCCTGAATTTTTCAATTGTTTCTTGACCCATAGAAGACCAAGCACTGACAAATGCTTCTGCTTTGTCTTGTCTAAGATGAATGTTCTCTAACTGCTGCTGCAAAGCTGCTGGCTTCACATTGTAATATACTGCCTATTAAAGAGGAAAAAAAAATTATATATATCCCTACTGTTCATACAGAGACCTTGAACTGTAATCAAATACAACATTATTTTAAATGATTTAAATTTTAAAAATTTCATATTTCTGCAGCAGAAATTTTTTTATTATTTTATAAATAATAATATACTCAACCAAGGGCTGGAAGATTCAGAATTAAATGGCCTAAATTATTCAAGCTAAACTGCTTCATTTTTGCCTGTGGTTTAAGTAATACTAAATCCACTTAACAGAAAAACTTCTTTGCTTTGGCTATGTAAATGGTATCCTAATTAAAAGTTCATTTCCTTATTTCACTTCATTATTTCAAATAAGTACACAGTGGTTTTGTTTCCCAACTACCAAAATTTTTCCAAGAAACACTTTCTCAAAACCACGTTCATCTACCAACTTCCTAGGTAATATATAATAAAAAATTGAAAACTTTTTTACGGTGATACCTGTTGTTTTTTACATTATTCTGAAAAAACGTCCTCATAAACCCCAGGCTGCTCTGCCCTATTCAGTTATCCTTTTCTTCTACTGAAGGTTCACCAAGGATAAGAACCATAATCATCTTTATGATCTGTAACCTGTATAAGGCTGCATGTAGTAGGTGCCTAGCAGCTTGTCCTCCTAACGGTATCTATTCACTAGAATTCCCAGAAAGCTACAGTATTGTTTATTGTGAAATAAACTTTTACTTCAGAAGTATTCTACTTAATCAAACAACAGGAATTTATTAAGAATCTATTTTTATAGCCACCATGGAGAACAGTATGGAGGTTCCTTAAAAAACTAAAAATAGAACTACCATATGACCCAGCAATCCCACTACTGGGCATATACCCTGATAAAACCATAATTCAAAAAGAGTCATGTACCACAATGTTCACTGCAGCACTATTTACAACAGCCAGGACACGGAAGCAACCTAAGTGTCCACTGACCAATGAATGGATAAAGAAGATGTAGCACATATATACAATAGAATATTACTCAGCCATAAAAAGAAACAAAATGGAGTCATTTGTAGTGAGGTGGATGGACCTAGAGTCTGTCATACAGAGTGAAGTAAGTCAGAAAGAGAAAAACAAATACTATATGCTAACCCATATATATGGAATCTAAAAAAAAAAAAAAAAGGTTCTGATGAACCTAGGGGCAGGACAAGAATAAAGACACAGACATAGAGAATGGAATTGAGGACACGGGGAGGGGGAAGGGTAAGCTGGGACGAAGTGAGAGAGTAACATTGACATATATACACTACCAAGTGTAAAATAGCTAGTGGGAAGCAGCTGCATAGCACAGGGAGATCAGCTCAGTGCTTTGTGACCACCTAGAGGGGTGGGATAGGGAGGGTGGGAGGGAGACGCAAGAGGGAGGGGATATGGGGATGTATGTATACGTATAGCTGATTCACTTTGTTATACAGCAGAAACTAACCCAACATTGTAAAGCAATTACACTCCAATAAAGATGTTAAAAAAAAATTTATTTTTAGCCCAGCAATGTGCTACATTTACATAAGATGTACAGAAAATGTGATCCTGGCCCCATACAAATTCAAAACCTAGTGAAGGAGACACAACTGACATACATGAAATAATGAGAAGACTAACAATGTGTGCTACCATGATGAGCCAAGCATAAAAGGAATCCAAATAAGGGGAGGACTGCAAGTATAAGGGGTCAAGGCTGCAGTGGGAGGAGATGTGATTTTAACAGAACAATGAACCTGAACAATGAACTGAATTTAGATGTAAAGAAGGGATGCAGAAGAACAGCTCAGTAGGAAGAAATAGTATGACAAACGGTCCTTTGACAAATATTTCTTTTCTAAATGTTTTATCAACCTAGTCAAATAGATCCTCCAAAATCATTTATTAAATTTCTTAAATAAAATGTGTTCATTTTTCCAAATCATTTTTCCAAATTATTATACCAAGTAACAATAAATTTGAATCTCTTTTAACTGTCTCAAGTCAGCGAAGTCTTGATTCATATTGTCAAATACTTTACTCACGCTGCTGAACACTAAGACTGTTTCAGTAGAACGCAATACCATGGAAAAAAAATCACACGTTCAAAATTTTTCTACTACATCAAAATTTTTCGATAAAACATATTCACAGCTTCCATCTGTATACTTGAGAAAAATAAGATAAAATGTTATAGATATCACAGCAATGCAAACATGTAGTAAACAAACCATGGTTAGGAAATTTGGGGCAATGAAAATACCTGTTCTAAAATAAAAGATATTGTTTCAAGAACTAGGTGAAGATCTTGTCTCTCCAGAGAAAATGCAGCTTGAAGTTTTTCTTCCTCTTCTTCACTGAAACTATTCTCAGCCTAGAACACAGAAAGCAATCTGTTAGCATACACTCAGGTATTCGAAACTCAGATACTCAACAGAAGATTCATTTATTCATATGACAATAAGAACTTGAAAGAAAGAAAGTAAATCCTTCCTAGAAAGAAACTGATGTGTCTCTAAATTTCAATATCTTAAAATCATAGTACAGTTCATTACCTGGCTCTTGCCAAATAAATTTCATTAAAAAAACCCAGTATTTTCAATTCTATGATTTATAGGAGGTGGAAAATAATATAAACGATGGACACTTAACATATACGCTAATATGTATAAAATGGATAACTAAAAAGAACCTGCTGTATAAAAAAATTTTTTTTTAAAAATGGACATTTAGAAAAAACAATACTACAAGGTAAAACCCCAAAATGTTAACAATAATTAATAGTAATCTCCATCTTTACTCACAACATTATAATCAACTATATTCCAGTATAAAATAAATATTAAGAAAGAAAATTAAAAAAACATTGGGGAGGGGGGAACACCTTCTCTGTAATAATACTATCCAATTATAATGGGCCCCAGCAACTCTTCTAAGAGCCCAAAGCAAAATCTCCATTTAAGAGAACAGCATTTTAAGATAGAAAATACCTGGGGGCTCCTTTCCTTTGGTAGCTCTTTCCTCCCCCCAACTCACCCCAAAACCTCTGCCAGTATACCTGGTCCTAAGCCCCTGTAGGCATTTAATAAGAGGGAGCCTACCCTGGAAGCATTAACAGATAAAAACTGTTAACCTTGGGAACCTTCATCTACATCCTCCATTACCTAGCACCAGGATTCCCGTCAGAGAGGTGGCAACTAGTTTAACCCTTAGAATTATTTTATTAAAAGTCAATGGGTTATGAGATGCAGCAAAAGCAATTCTTAGAGGGAAATTTACAGTGATACAGGCTTTAAGAAACAAAAAAAGTCTCAAACAATCTAACCCACCACCTAAAAGAATTAGAAAAAGAAAAACAAACAAAACCAATTATTCAGAAGAAGGAGCTAATAAAGGTCAGAGAGGAAATAAATTAGAGATGAAAAAAACAATAGGAAAAAAATCAATAAAACCAAGAGCTGGTTCTTTGAAAGGGTAAACAAAATTGACAAACCTCTGGCCAGGCTCACTAAGAAGAAAAGAGAGAAGACCCAAATAAACAAAATAAGAAATGAAAGAGGAGAAATCACAACTGATACTGCAGAAGTACAAAAAAAAAAAAAAATATATATATATATATATATAAATATATATATATATGTATATATATACACACACACACACATATATATATATTTACTGAGTACTTATTATGTGCTACATAGATAGTTTATGTCCTCAGGAGTGCTATCTTCTAGTTAGAAAGACAAATTAAAAACAAATAATTGTTCCAATAACTTCCCTTTTTAATGAGTTCTGCAAAAGTATGGATTATTATAAGAGCATATATAAAGCAAGAAATTAAGTCTTTTTGATAATTTTGATATTTTCTAAAACTTACACATTACACACATTACTTTTATAAGCAATATATGAAAGAAGTTAGCCATCTGAGTATAAGTTCTGGCTAGTCTCCTTTCTTTCATTTCCAAAATAATCTCCTTGATCTAAAGACTGGTTTTTCAAGTATGAAAAATATACACTATTAGAACTGCTTTCAAATAAAAATACTTTACCTACACATACCCAAAACAACTTTCCCTGTTGCTGCCTCTCCCCAACAGCTACATGGAGAAGTTTCAGAACTCCATGCCTTAACAGCTTAGGATGAGGTACAACTTTACAATTGCTCAAGTGAGGCAGCATTAGAACTCTAAGCTGGCATATTTTTGGTTTGGGGAGGCTAGTCACCAGAACTTCCAGTATCTACTACCTGCTTTATGACTGAGAAAAGCATGAACCCAATTTGGCCAAAATGCCAATCATTTACCTCAAGAGCAATGTTTTGATTTTAAAGTTCCAGAATTTCTGTGACTACCATACACCTTCTTGAAATAATGACCTACAGTACCAGACTTTATCAATATGAGGAAGAGAATAACAGTATTACTCATGTACAATCAATGAACCACATGTTGCATTAAATTCAATGGATATGTACAATTTAACTTCCAAGTTGGTCAGTCTGATTCCTTTAAATATACACCAAATGAGATATTTTGACAAAATAAAAATAGTGATTGAGCACGTAGAAAAATAAACTTTAGTGTCCTCAATATGTACAAGAAAGTGAGACTTCTTATGTTTTAAGAACTTTTTTTTTGATGTGGACCATTTTTAAAGTCTTTATTGAATTTGTTATAATACTGCTTCTGCTTTATGTTTTGGTTTTTTGGCCACAAGGCATGTGGGATCTTAGCTCCCCGACCAGGGATCGAACCCACTTCCCCTGCATTGGAAGGCAGATTCTTAACCACTGGACCACCAGGGAAGTCCCAAGACATTTTTAAAAAGAGCAAGAAAAGGGACATTCTCAAGATCTTCAAGGGCATCATATTAATAAAGTGGTTTGGAGTGAAGGGGGACAAGGGAACATGTATCGCCCCCCATCCACTGGTACGTGAAACGTGCACCTTTAAAATAAGGTGGTGCTTAAAATATGTGAGCAGAACAACAAATGGAGAATAAAATACAGCCATGAAACAAAGTTCCAAATCCATAGTCAATATCTTGCTCCAGCAGTGACCCTGGGTAGATCAATATTAAATGTAAGTCACTCTATTTGCTTCCAGACAGCAGCTGGTTAACTTCTTCCTAGGTACCAAAAGTAACCCACACATATCTGGGTGTTGAAGAGAAAGTAAAGGAGATATATTCGTTTTTACCCTCTCAGTGGGAGAAATTTAAGGCCCACGTTTATAAAATTAGAGAGCAAGTGTCCAAGAAACTTAAATTTTTTTTTTTTTTTTTTTTGCTGTGCACGGGCCTCTCGCTGTTGTGGCCTCTCCCATTGCGGAGCACAGGCTCCGGACGCGCAGGCTCAGCAGTCATGGCTCACGGGCCCAGCCGCTCTGCGGCATGTGGGATCTTCCCGGACTGGGGCACGAACCTGTGTCCCCTGCATCGGCAGGCGGACCCTCAATCACTGTGCCACCAGGGAAGCCCAAAACTTAAATTTTAAATGGAAAATGGATGTTAATTTTTTCTATATATTTAAAAAGCGTATGCCATAAACATATATACACAGGCAGAAAGGAAAAACAGTATTTAAAAAGAATAACTGCTGTATGGCTTGACATGGAAAGATCTTTGATACAAGTGATAAGTGAAAAAGGTAAACAGTATAATGCCACTTATGAACGCATTTATATAAAAACCAAAAATTTCTATTTATATATGCGTGCACATATGTTTGCACAGCTGTATTTATTAATACTTGAAAAAAAGACCTGGAAAGATGAAAACCAAATCGACAACAAAGACTACTTCTAGGGAGGTGTGGTGGTTTTATCATATCTGCAAATTCTTTTAACACTCCTCTGTTCAAAAGATGGAGCCTAATTTCCTCTCCCCTGAATATGCGCCAGACTTACTGACTTACTTCTAACCAGTAGAATATAGTAAAAAGTGAAGGTATGTAATATCCAAGCCTAGGTCATGAAAAGGACAGCACCTCCCTCTCTTGGACCACTCATTCTGGAAGAAGACAACTTCCATGTCAGGAGCAAAGGCCCATGTGACAAGGAACTAACTGGTGCCACCATCTAGCCATGTTAGAAGGAAATCCTCTACCCCAGTGAAAACTTCAGGTACCAGCTGCCCCAACCAATATCTGAGAGCAGTTTCATGAGAACCCCAAGCCAGGACCACCCAGCCAAGCCACTGCTAAATTCCTGACTTACAGGAAGGGTGAGAGATAATAAATGTTTATTGTTGGTTTAATCTGCTAAATTTGGGGGAAATTTGCAATTCAGCAATAGATAACTCACACCGGAGAGAATCAAGATGGAGGAAGGGGCAAGAGTTAGCCAAGGGGGGCATTTCAGTTCGTCCATGTTGTTTAAATGCCTTAAAACAAAAACTTCCTCATAAACTATTTGTGAAATTTAAAATGTTACTGAAACACTTCACTTAAGCACTCTATTTTTAACTTTAAGGGCACAAAAAAGAACAAATCAGAAAATCCATTCTTCCAACCTTTTCTTTTTTTGAAGAATTTATTTTCTTAACACGCACGATGAGTGAACTCATCTTACTTCCACATATAGTTGAAATCAGGTCACATTCCTCAGAAAGTTATACGGATCTTCTATTCTATGAAGACAGTATACTATATAAATAATTATGAAGGCAATTAGGTTTTAAAAACTCAGAGCACAGCTTTAGAGACAAGAGAGGCCTGTGATCCGGAATCCAGACTCTGACTCACATACACAGGCATACACACACACCAACACCACAATGGAAGAACACGTGGTCCTAGTAGTCTGCATACGCCATAATTTAAAATGTATATATATCATTTTAACCTAATAAACTAAGTTGTAAGAAGCGTTCCAGCTTATATTAAGTACAAAATAAATGCATTTTCAGAGATAAGCTACTCTTTTCTTTTTTTGTCCACATAGATGAGGCCAATTCTTTGAACAGGACTGTGCTGCACATCGTTAGGACATTTAAAGTCCCAGGGCATTAAATGCCAGTAACACCCTTCATACACTGTAACAACAACAACAACAACAAAATCCTCAGGCATTTCTGTATGCTGGGGTTTACATCTGTGACTGTCCTTTATATTAATAATAATGAGACTTCTCTATCTGTCATAATGAGGAAATAACGGTGGTAACCGCAAGTCAATCTATCAAATAAAAGAACTTTTATTTTAAACTTTTAAAAGCAATCTTTCTGAAATGTACGGCACCCATTCTAGACTTTTGTAAACAAAGTATTTTGGATTACAATAGATTCTTGCAATAAGTCAGATCATAATTACGAGCAACCAAGTTCTGTGCTGCAGTTAGTTTCCTAAAGAACTGCTAAGATACACTGATGATTTTTCACTTCAGAAAAAACCCTCAGATTTCTTTGCTTTTGTATTTCTTGTGTCTGATTTTCATAATTCTTCCATTTCAATCTATACCCAGCAGTCGATTCTTGATACTGCCTACATGCCCCACCACAGGAGCGCCTTCACCCCCCAGTTTGCTGTTGCTAGTCGGCCACATCCAGAAATCCAGACACCTCATCTCGCAGAGCTAGACATATAATATACTAACATCAATAGGCTTTGTGGGAGGGCCTAAGAGTCTCTGGAGCAAGGTATATGAGGGTTTTTTTTTAATTGCATGAGTTGTGACAGCTATTTTAAAAACGTAGAGGCCACAAATGTTTGTTTTTAAGTTCACAGATAAGGAAGTTACTCTGATTTCCTTCAGTGTTTCCCAAGGCGGACTCTATTAGCATGCAGGATGAGACAATTCTTTGTACAGGAGTGTCCTACTCACTGCAAGACATTTAAAGGTACACATATACAATGGAATATTACTCAGCCATTAAAAAGAATGAAATAATGCCATCTGCAGCAACATGGATGGACCTAGCGATTGTCAAACTGAGTGAAGTAAGTCAGACAGAGAAAGATGACTATCAAATGATATCGCTTATATGGGGAATCTAAAAAAAAGATATAAATGAACTTATTTACAAAACAGAAACAGACTCACAGACTTAGAAAACGAACTTATGGTTACCAGAGGGGAAGGGATAGTTAGGGAGATTGGGATTGACATGTACACACTCCTATACTTAAAATGGATAACCAACAAGGACCTACTGTACAGCACAGGGAACTCTGCTCAATATTATGTAACAACCTAAATGGGAAAAGAATTTGAAAAAGAATAGATCCGTATATACGTATAACTGAATCACTCTGCTGTACACATGAAACTAAGGCAACGTTGTTAATCAACTATACTCCAATATAATATAAAAAGTTAAAAAGAACCAAAGTTCCTGGGCATTAAATGCCACCAGCACCCTCCACACATTGGTAACAAACCACCCCAAATTCCCAAGTATTCCTATATGCCACGATTGCTCAGGAATAGATGCTCAGACCCATACTTAGGCGTGCCCATATTCTATACCTAAGCTTATTTTCCCCATGTTTATTTCTTCTAGAGATTTCAAGGAACCAGTCTGGACAAAAATAGATACCCTCTGCCCACAGTCCAATTTTACCATGATCAAACTTGGTAAAATCAAAGTGTCAAGCTGATAAGATTAAGAATAGCAACCAAATCCCTAAACCTCTTCACCAACTTACCTGCATGCGGTTTCACTGCTCTCAGGACTCTGCTTGTCCCAAGGCAAAGGCCAACTTGACAGACCAAGAGAACATAAAAGAAAGCTGGCAGATCTGAGATGTCGCTACAAACTCTTTGATAAGAGCCCTTAGCACAACTGGAGTCCCTCTGGAAGAACATTCCCTAAAACTGTCCGGGCGGGTTGGGGGAGTGGGGATGGGTTGCCCCTTTCCTGACTTTCTCTCCTGACTTTCTGCAGGCAAGTAATCAAATACAGATGTTTCTGCCCTCAGCTGCTTCAGCTCTCAACAACCACACCTTCTCACCTCCACTCCCCACCTCTGAAGGCACAGCATTCAAACACCTCTGTGGAATGCTTTGGCCATTCAGTTACTCTAAGTTAGATATTAATGTTTTCTCAACTCCAGAGGGTCAAAGACAAACTCCAGAGGGTCACGAGTTTCCTGCAGATGTTCCATCCTCCCTCAGTATGAAGAACAAAAGATGTATATAAGTGTTTTGTGTCCCGTACCACTTTGTATGTGTTTAAGAAGGCAGCCACCCACAACATTGTAAATCAACTATATACTTCAACTGAAAAATACAATAAAATAAATAAAATAAAAAAGAAGGCAGCCACCAACTCAGACAATCAAAGAAACTCTGTACCAACTGCCTGCATCATTCACTTTTGGACTGATTTATATA